CTTTGTGGGGTGAGGGATTTTCTGATCTTGGATAGATAGCTATTCGGCTCGGTGTTGTTTCTTGAGCCGTTAGACCTGGGGTTGGACCACAGATCGGATAAGGAAGAAGCCAATCAGGTATTGTCAATGGATGGATGGAGAAGGATTGCCGATCTTGACTTTAACTTTGATCATGCCAAGTTGGACTATCTTTGCGGGGAAGATGGGGCCGATCACCTTCACTCAAAGGCGAGGCGACTCAGGGAAAAATGGGATCAAACAATGGAAGGGGGTTATTTTACATGGTGGAAAAGTACAGGGGCATTTGGGGATGAAAGGTTTGAGCTACCTATGTAAAGCCACTGAAGGCAGAAAAAAGCTGTAGGACGGGCTCTATAAGAACATAATAGAAGTGAATTGGATATGAATTCAAGCGTTGGTATCAATCGCGGTTCACGCGTTCGTTTTGCTGGACTTCACCATACCTCCCCTTTTCACTTCCTCCCCAAGAGCTTCCAGTGCCGCTCCGTACCGCGACTTGACGGCCTTCATGTCATCCAGCTTCACGTTCACCTTCTCCACCTTTGTAGAACGTGTGATTTTACCATCAGTGGAGCGAGAGATCTCATTGCCAAACCATCTGCCTTCCCGATGAGCAACGAGTGTCCACGCCGAACCCTCCCGACCAGCTCGTGCCGTACGTCCCACACGGTGGACGTAGGTGGTGACACTGGGTGGCACATCGTAGTTGACCACGTGCGATAGCGATTGCAGATCAAGACCACGAGAAGCACGGTCCGTAGCGATGATGATGGAAATCTTGCCTTGACGATAAGCGGTTAGCGTCTTGCGCGACGCCGAAGAATTGTTGGATTTGATGATGATTCCAATGCGACTGGCTAATGATGGATCGAGCAGAGCCAACAGGCGAGACAGTCGAGATGCAGACTCAGATGACTTTGTGAATATCAAGACGCTGGACTCGGCAGAACGGCTAGGCTTATCTTGCATCACTTCATCCTCGGACTCAGAGTCGCTGTCAGATGAGCTATCCTCCGAAGAGCCCTCATCGGACTCGTCAGAAGATGAGCCGTCGGAACTTGTGTCGTCGGAACTCGTGTCGTCGGAGTCAGACTCGTCGGAGTCGGAGCCCTCGGAGCTGGTATAGTCTGAGCTCGTATCCGACTTCGCGCTATCAATGCTGGGTTTCTGGTTGGCATCGCTGCTAATATTAATGTTCGAGAGTAAGAGGCGCAAAAGATAGAGCGGCTTCTGCGATCCATCTCCCACAGACACCGAGAACTCTCTGAGAGTGTGGGGAAGGGTAAACCTATCATCGGGGCGGTCGACGGCCATTTCGTCCTCATTCTCCCCAGCGGGACCAGACTCTTGCCCGACAAGAACCATTTTGGGGTTGACAAGGCGAAGGGTATTCAGTTTCGTAATGTCCCTTGTCATAGTGGCACTGAGGATCACCTTCTTGGGTTCTCTAGTATGAATAGGAAGGCCGACTTCAGCCGTAAATTTTCCGCTGAAGCCGAAAGCGTCAGCCGCCTTTCGCGAATCCAACGAATCCATCACCACTTCAACCCATTCCTGGAAGCTCTCGTTCAGTAGCCTATCGGCTTCATCGATGACAAGCCATTCCAAATCCTTTAGTGTAAATCCTTTTGTGTAACGCAGATGATCGACAAGACGACCCGGTGTGCAGATAAGGATGTCGACGTTTGGCTCGGCTTTTTGGATGTAGCCAGGCAACGACTCGCTCTGCTCTCCTGCATCGGCAATATAGTCTTTCAGGCTGAAATTTGTCCAGTCATCGGGTGTCAATTGGTCCTGCTGCCGTAGCTTGAATTTCTCTGGGCCGTGAACCTGGTCGACACGCATTAACGAGCGCTGCTCATCCTTGATCGCTACGTTGCCAACAGCTGAGGCAACTCGGAGACCCGAGCCTGCGGCGCAGAGCTCAGAGGCTTCTCGGGCCTGCTTGACGAGCTCTCGGGTGGGCACCACGATTAGACCTCGGAGCCTGGGAGCTGGCAATTGTTCCATGGCAGTCACCATTGGAAGCACGTAAGACAATGTCTTTCCCGACCCAGTAGCAGCCGAAATACACAGATCGCCCCGATGGCTCTTAGGTCCCTTGAGAAGTAGCGGAATCACCGTCGACTGCACCGCAAATGCCTCCTTGTACCCATTGTTTTCGAGTGTGCGTAGAAGATTAGGTTCGATGCCAAGGTCAGCAAACTTGCCTTTTGCTTCAGTCGATGTACGGAGAGGGTTGGCCAGCCACGAAGGGAGAGAAGAGTACGTGGGCTTCTCAACTTGTTCGGGGACAGGCTCCGGTTGAGGTAGTGGTTCCAGACCCTGGGCAATGACGGGTTCTGGTCCTGTTTCTTGGATCTCGTCCGGCTGGTCTTCCTTCACTTTGGCCGACTCTTTGACCTTGGCCGATCTTTCAAATTTCGACAGAACCCCAGAGAATTTATTCTTGGCCGGCTTCGACTTCTCATCTTCGCCGGGTGCAGAGTCTGTTGCCGCTGCCTCTCTGCGCGAATCCGAAGTTTCAGCATTGTCCTTTCTCTTCTTTGCATCCTTTGCATCCTTTGTTAGATCCGTAGCATCACCAAGCGATTCGTTATCAATTCCTGAAGATTTCCGCTTGTCTTTCCTCGATTTCCTCTTTCCCCTAGCGTCTCCACCATCCTCATTTGGGGTTGTTGTCTTGCCGCTAGCCGGCGAGACAGCACTTTTCTTCGGGGTCGCGTCCTCTTGAACACCCCCATCGATAGGATCTTCGGCCTCTCTTCTGTTCTTTCGTTTGCCTTTGGCGGAGATAGGGGTTTCCGACGGGCTTTGGGTTTTCTTTGACTTCTTGGTGGGCGTCGGAGTTGATGTGGTGGTAGTGGAGGCATCTAGATCTCTCTTCCGCTTATGGGATTTCTTGGTGTGAGGTGAAGTAGCATTCGCACGGGGGTCACCGGCCATCGTCAATGTGGAAGCGCAGCACCAGCGCAAGCTTGGAGAAGTAAATGGAGAGTATCAACGGCGTTGGGCGGATGGTATCTTTTTTCTCCGAATATTTCTTGTTAGCGGGGATTATTTCTGACGGCAGAAACTGCACACCGCCCGCCCTGCCGCCAGGGTCTGGACCTTTCGGCGATCATCAACATCCCTTTTACTTGGCATTGGTGATGACCTTCTGAGAACCTCCACTACGCAGTGTCAGCGTCAAGGTCCATGCTGATACCTGCGGAAAGTGTCCGAACATGGACAGATTGAAACGAAACTACTCAATTACCGCGTTCTGGTTGTATCTGCATAAGTGCACCCACAGCCAACATGCCTTATAACATTGCGTGAGTCGCAGTGGCCCAGAACTAGTCCTTCCTGTCTAACCAGTGTCGCATAGCATGGCCTGTGACTTCTTCTTCCCTCAACCGGGTGGAGTAGAATGTCACATCTACCAATTGTCGACGAAGCTTATCGATCGGGGCCATAAAGTGGTTATCATTACACATGCTTATCAGGGCCGAACGGGCGTTCGTTATCTCACAAATGGATTGAAGGTCTACCATGTACCTTTCTTCGTCATTTATCGCGAGTCGACTATGCCAACGGTCTTCTCCTTCTTCCCGATCTTTAGGAACATTGTTATACGCGAACAGATTCAGATTGTACATGGACACGCCTCGTTGAGTAGCTTTTGTCACGAAGCCATTCTTCATGCCCGGACCATGGGTCTACGGACTGTGTTTACAGATCACTCGCTCTTTGGATTTGCAGATGCTGGATCTATCTTGACGAACAAGCTGCTGAAGTTTATATTGAGTGACGTTGACCATGTTATTTGCGTCAGCCATACATGGTGAGCACAGACTAATGATCCACGCGCAACCAACTCGTACGAAGCTGACACACTCTACAGTAAAGAGAACACTGTCCTTAGAGCATCGTTAGATCCATTGATGGTATCTGTAATTCCTAACGCCGTCGTTGCGGAGAATTTCCGGCCACGCGCCTACACCCCCCGAATAACGGATAGATTGTCTGCAGGATCTCAGGAGGTACAGGCATCACCGGAACTACTGGGGCCAGACGACACAATTACGATTGTCGTTATATCACGACTCTTTTATAACAAAGGGACCGATTTGTTAATTGCCGCTATCCCGAGAATATTAGCATCTCATCCGAACGTACGCTTCATCATCGCCGGGTCTGGACCCAAGGCCATCGACCTCGAGCAAATGCTGGAAAGGAACGTCCTACAAGACAAGGTCGAGATGCTTGGTCCGGTACGACATGAAGAGGTCCGCGATGTCATGATCCGAGGCCACATCTACTTGCATCCGAGTCTAACTGAGGCCTTTGGCACGGTCATCGTCGAAGCGGCTAGTTGTGGTCTGTACGTGGTATGCACACGTGTCGGGGGCATTCCGGAGGTACTCCCTCAGCATATGACCACGTTTGCCAAACCGGAGGAAGACGACCTCGTAATGGCCACCGGAAAGGCAATTGCGGCATTACGCTCTAATAAAGTGCGCACTGATCGCTTCCATGACCAAGTTAAGATGATGTATTCCTGGAGAGACGTGGCGCAGCGGACAGAGCGCGTCTACAATGGTATATGCGGGGATATCAGACCGGAAGAGTTTTACGGATACTACCCCGGACAAGGGCTAGAAGCCAGCGGGGACCGGGTGCGGAGTTTTGCTCTAATCGACCGGCTGAAGCGATACTACGGCTGCGGTGTCTGGGCTGGCAAGCTCTTCTGCCTCTGCGTGGTCATCGATTTCTTGCTCTATATCTTCCTGGAGATGTGGTTCCCGCGGGCCAATATCGACATTGCCCGCAGCTGGCCGAAGAAAGTGGAACAGAAGAGCGAAAATGATGGTTTGAATAGCAGCAAAGGCTCTAGACCTCATTTAGCATCTTGACCTACCATCGCCCATACTCGTTGGGCCTCAACTATCGCTTACACCTGGTCCATTCGACAACTTACGGTTTGCGAAAATAGATACCTATGATACCCTTGCTATTGAAAAATTAATGGATAATACACAATATACAACTCAATATACAAGAACGCTAAGCATGCCCATGACGCCTGTCCGTATGCTTTGTACTGGGCTCATACTTCCACTCGCGAGTAATCGACTCCGCCTCCTCGGGGAATTTCTCCTCAGCCCCCAAGAATCCCTTATCCCCGCGCTGGCCACCCTGAGCCTCATCCCGCTCAATGCCACGCTGGCTAGGCATGGTGCGCTCGAATTTTTCAGGCTTAGAGGCTCCGACACCCTCCAGCCCCGAGCCGTGATGCTTGCGGCCAGGCTGGCCATCATGATGCAGTTCAGCGCTGGACTGCCCGGACACAGGCTGGCCCAGGCCGCGGTAAACATCTTGTGAAGAGGCACCCATGAGGGTGTCGCCGGCTGACGTCCCCGTCGACTCCTTGCCGTGGGATCGTTCCACATTGGGGTTCATTGCCTGGCCTGGGATGGTGTTGTTGGGGTTGGGCGAGTACGAGTTGCTGGCGGGGGCTGTGCCAGGGGGGAATGTCTGTGCGTGGGACTCGCGGACGTCGTCATTGCCGCCAACTTTGCGTCCTGGCTGGTGCTGCAGGTGGTTGTTAGTTTGTTCGCACACTCTTGGGTTCTAAAGCTGGTGGATATAGGGCAAAGCATACACCGCCGTGTGGATGATGTTGATGAACCTGGTCCGGATGCTCGTGGGGGAAGAATTCCCCTTGCTTTGGGTTCAACGACTCGTAGTTTTGGGTGCTCATGTTTGCAGACGTGAATATCTCTATAGGAAATGTTTAAACCAGGAGATTTTGAGACTTGGTACGAGCCATAACAATAGATCCGGAGCGCATCTTTATATGCACTCACAATGCAATACGCCGCTGCCATGACGTCACCATGACAAGAACCCAACGCCTCTTGCATTTACAACAAGATGCAAACACTGGGACAGAATCCTGGAATCCATGGGTTCTAGAACGTGTAATAGAATAACCACCAGTGTCGGGGGTGATTTGGTGCAATGGGTCTGGTGACGTCGAGCTGAGAACAGCATGCATGATGTGGGGGAGGGCTGACGACAGTCTGTCAGAGTGGTTTGGATTGATCCGATCTTTTCTTTTCTCGGCAAGTATTTGCTTGCCTTATGGGTCTTGCCTTTGCTCGTTTTCTTTTTGTTTGTTTAAGCGATGGTAAACATGAAGCATATATACATCATTGCTGGAAGAATGCCACCCGGTTGCTGGATGCCGCAACTGATATCACATGATTATTTTCCACAGCGACAGGGAAGAGCCTGTTACGAGAGTAATAAAGCGGGAGTGATCATAATGTCAATCCAATGATGCACCCAAAGACAAGAATGATGATAAAGGAATAATTAAGATATATACTATTCAAGGTATCTTCGCAGATGACACAGAACCCCCAAGCGCCTTAACATCTCAAAATGTAGAAAGACTCCATAAAATTAGGACGGTCGCTGATCCCCTGGCCAAATCCTGGGTATCTTGATCAAACGACCATATGGTAACCCGTCAAGGGTTCGGTTCGCGACGGTAGAGTATCACACCGCAAGGGACCAGCGAGGCCATCATTTCATAATCGGAGGCCTGCCTTCTTTGTTCCATTTGACTCGACTTCGGACCCATTCGACGGCTTCCTGAACCCCTGTTGCCATGAGTGCACTGATCGGTAGCACGCGACTGTCGCGGACGCCGACGCCCGTCTCCCCCTCGAAGACCTTGCGCACCAGCCCTTCCTTAATGCGAACCACCTCCACCGAGTCCTCCCGATCTTGTTTATTGGCCAGGACTAGAATAGGCACCCCCGCGACATCGGCATGCTTCAAAACAGATTCCAACACCTGCCGGCATTCGTCTAACCGCCCGAAGTCGCTCCCAGGGGCATCGATCCCGACCATCCGCTCTGTAAAGGCATCTGCGTCACCGTCTGACGCATCCGACGGGGAACTCGATCGAGTGGTGGAGGGAAGACGGGTGATATCCGGATCTTGACCGACGTCGGTACTGTCGACGACGAAGATGATCGCGTGACAGCTGGTGTAATAGCTTTGCCACAGGTTTCTCATGGTTATTTGACCTCCGACATCCCATATCTTGAGATACATGTCTGGGAGATTGATCGTGGCCACGTTTTGCCCGACCGTGGGCACGGTTTTCCCGGGGTTGGGGGCAGGGACGCCATCGGAACGGGGTTGGTAGATGTTCTTAATCTGGGATAGGAGGGTTGTTTTGCCGGCGTTGTCAAGACCTAGTAGTAGCGCGGAGTATTCTAGGGGAGTCCGTTAGCAAATCCCCGGGCCACTCTAGACTCCCAGGAACTCTGCGATGGTTCTTACCCTCTTTACTAGTCGCTTGCATATACAGCGACTTGGCCAAATGATACATGGTTGCGGTCGGACAGAGAGGGCCAAAAAAGTCCGACAGGCGCAGCCTCTATTTCAATCAGAACCAGCGGCACAACACGAGTGATGAGATGCGACAATCATGGCAGCGCAGGAGGCTTGCAGTGGCTTGCTTGGATCTCTCTGCGCAACTTCCAGTTCACACTTGTCGTCTTCCATTTGGACCCCAAGACCAACGGGACGATCCAGACACCCGTCCGCTCCACGCGTCAGCCGTGTCTGGATTAGGAAAATAGGGCATAGGGTAGAAACTCCACTTACCCCTTGCCCTAACTTCCAAATCCGTCCATGATCCCCGCAGTCCGATCCGTCCATCCCGCCGTTTTGGGAGGGGAAATCTTGATTATGGTATGAATGACTAGCATTTACTCTGCTCTGATCTCATTGTTTCGGAACCAGGTATTTAGAACCCCTTTCGAAGGGTATGGACCCGTCTGGTCAATATGATTATTTTTTTATATGGGTCCGGCTCTCGATCTTTCCTTGCTACTTTAGACCGTTATTGAGTTTACTGGGAGTATTCGACCAAGAGGAACCTGCGTCCGCCACCTCGTAACCCAGCACGCCATACTAAGCTTCTACGAGGATCGACTCTCCCCCGCTGATAGGGATTTCTAAGCTACTGTAAATTGGGGCTTCGATTTTGTCAGCAGTTCCTTACCCTGTTCCTTCGCGGGGATTCTCCTGGCGCGTTATCCTTAAAATCCTGCACGTAACTCGAGTCGATCTTTTTTCCTTCTTCACGGTTGACTATGGTCCCTCGACGGTTGATCGGCTACTTTACCTTCATCTGAAGGCAGTGCCCTATTAATGTCTGGACCCACCGAGCGAGTCCATTGCAACATTTCCACCCCATCGCATGGCTGATACAGCATGCCCCGTGCTTGAGGGGCGGGCACGGCCATCTGGTTCGCCGGGAATGGAAACTGATACCATCATCGTGGGTATGTCGCAATTATCCTTACCTCTGTCCAATAGCGATCGCAGTTGACGCGGAACTCTGCAGGGAACGGGCCATCTGCCATGCTTCTATCCTTCATCCTCCACGGCAACATCCCATACTACTCTTCGGACCCTCCCCATCCAGACCCTCTTCTCGATGCGAAGCTCAAGGACGCCCCAGATTTACTGAATGCGGATGTCCCGGCACTCACAGAGCACTTTGCGGCCTCTCGCCTCTCCTATTCCACGCAGGCGCTCCCCGTCAACGTACTGCTAGATACCCTGGTCCGACCCAGTGTCGATGTGGAGGAACTCAGCTGTACAACAAATATCGAATGGCGACGCTTACCAGAGAAATCCGTCTCACACCTGGTTTTCGGGCATGCGTCACAACCCGGGGGGCAATGGGTCGAAAACCCCATGCCTGGGAGCTGGGAGATTCAAACCCTGAGCTACGCATCGATGCTATCTCTCCCCGGCTATTCCTTTGCAGAACACTATCGCAGGGTCACCGGAAAAGATCTTCCAGCCTTCACCCGACCAAGTCGACAGGAGACAGCCGACTATTTCCGCGCTTATCCTGAAGCTGTTCAAATTAACGATACCATGCGTTGCCACGAGACCTTGAATGGGATCTCAAGAACCGCCAGTGGGTTCTATATTCGCTCCCACAACATCCACTGTAAACGTCTCGTCCTCGCCAGTGGAATCTTTTCAGAGGTGCTGCAGCCCCGTCCGCTGTTACAACCTTTAGCCACCCTGCAGCCTGTTCCTGAGCTCCCGCTCCTGGTGATCGGATCTGGGTTCTCAGCTGCAGATGTCATAATTTCAGCCCCGAAGGACCAGAAAATCATCCATGTATATAAATGGTCCCCGGAAAACCGTCCATCTCCGCTGCGCGGCTGTCATCAGCAGGCATATCCAGAGTACTCCGGTGTGTACCGTCTGATGAGACGAGCCGCTGTCGCTGCGGAGCCGACTTCTACCAAGAAACCCAGATATCGGCGATTGACGTCCACACCATTCCTGACAAGCCGGACATGGGACGATGTGTATGAGGGATTACCTAACACAGAGATCATCGGGGTGGATACGAACAAGGATGATGCGACAGTGACCTTTCGCGCGCACAACGGCAGTGTATTCACCCGCAGGCTACGCGGTATGGTGTACGCTACAGGTCGACGGGGTACTCTGAAATATCTGGACAACGGTCTTCTCGCAGAAGTAGTCGGACAGCAAAACGGGCCAGAATTAAACCCCATCATCTCCGGCCAGACCTTACGAAGCAAAGCTTTAGACGACATGGAGGTTACGAAAGATTTATTCATCATTGGCAGTCTGACCGGAGACTCGCTCATACGTTTCTCCTATGGGAGTTGCGTTCAAACAGCGGGGAAATTAATCGGGGCGTCTTCTAGTAACGGAAGGCCCAAAGATGAAGCAGTGCTTAGATCTAAGCCCCAGGGCGCCGCCTTACAAGCAATGCACGGCATGGATGGCCATGCCGTTTACCCAAACCACAACCAATATCACATTGATAGTGGGGATAACCATGGACTACTTCATTCGCTGTTTGACAAACTCGGCCTGGGTGGGGTTTGGACAACACTGGCGAGGGTTTGGTATGCGTGAACAGGCGTATAAATCCACTGTATATTGATAGATTTGCGATGGTTGCTGTCGACTGGTGTATATTATTATTAGATGCCCATAGGGCCCCAGTTATGAACATTGCGCTGGTCAATCTCTACAGTAATCGATCTTGGATGTGTATATAGTGAATGTTACGGGTATCCGACCTGAGTCAATGCATTGAGAAACAGGCAACGACTATGCTCTCATACGTAACAGCATGAACTCTTAGAGGAATTTTGCACCTTGTGACAGCACTCCTATCAGCCTACGGACAAGGTAGTCAAGTTATATTGATTATAATTGTACATTTCGATAACAACCTGGAGTATGCTAGCTGCAACGCTGATATAATTAACCCATAATCTGCAGCTGGTCATCCGGGGGCCACCGTGTCTGTGAAAAGCTGAGACACCGTTTGATACTTTGTAGGTATTTTCGAGTAATCTCATCACTCAAGATATGCGCCTGCTGGTCGCTCTGGTGTAGTTTCTCTCGCGCAGAACGTTCGTGGATACCAACCATCGTGACACCAATGGGCCAGGCACTATGAACTGTTAGCAATCGTGGAAAATGGAAACAGTAACAACCATCATATGATGAAAGACACGGGGTAAACGTACGCTTTTCCAATACTCAGCCGCAGATAAGCATCATTGGCATCGACATACTTCCGTTGCTGGGCTTTGTGCACGATCTCCATGATATGCTCCAGCACTCCGTCGTCAAGTTCCACCTTCTCAAATTTCCGAAAGAGAGGCTTCAGATTCTCCCGCGACTGCACCATAGCATTATATGCTTGACGGCCCTGCATACTCTGCTTCACGGAAGCATCACGCTTCGCAAGCGCCCGGTCCCATTCGCCCAAGACCATGTTGAAGTATGACGCCAGTTGACGGAAAAGATATTTGCGGCCTTCCAGATCCTTAGGAAGCGCGGTTGGGATTTTCATTTCGACCTCGGGAACCAGCTCCAGTGTCGTGGGGATTGGCCCATCCGAGAGCCGCTGCTGAGGGGTGAGAGCTCGCTCGACAAGGCGCCGATACCGTCGCAGGCGACCAACGTGGCTTTCTCCGAACAAGCGAGCCGGCTCGTTCATCTCTCTAAGCTTCTCGAGCAGCTCCTCGTCGGGGATATCTTCTCCCTCGTTCTGCTCTTCACCCTCATCCGGCGGCAGGTCGGGCAGACCTAGTCGTCGCCTGCGGTCCCGTTCTTGTGATGCCTCTTCCTCCTCTCGTCGTTTGCGCGATTCTTCAGCTAGTCTTCTTTTCTTCTCCTCGCGCGCGTGCCGCTTTTCAGCCTCCTCGTCCTCTAGCTTTCGTTTGTTGCGGAGGCGTTCTTCGCGCTCGCGCTCCGCGCGTTCCTGCTCCTCTTTGTACGCTGCGATGCGGGCGGCTTCCTCATCTCCGCGTCGGACATACTTGCTCCCTTGGGGTTTGGGGGACTCTTTGGCGCTGGGGGTGGACGATTCGGATTTGGTAGGTTTCGCCTTGGCGATTTCCTTCGACATTAAAGCCGCGAAGTCCATGGCGGTTTCGAAGTGTTGACGGACAAAATGAGTTGAGTTGAAGGTGCAACCGTAAAATAAATATGTTTAAAAGCCTTTGCTGCGGTTGAAGTGCGATAGAGGTTGAGAATGCCAGACGTGGCCTGTGCGGGCTGTGTGAGGTCAGAGTAGTTAAAAGTGAGGAGGAAAGCTGGATTTCTCCGCCGGCGGTCTTGCTCGTGACAAAAGCTCCTCCAACCACCACCTCTCAATCCACGAATTGCCTCCCACTCCATCCTCGCGCGTGGAATTAACTTTTGCAGGAATTACCTCAATCAAACAATCTATCAGCGCAGCATAGACAGCACCATCAACTAGGAAACAAGCACATCCCAGCCAACACCATGGCCGCTCCCCGCGATGGGCCCAACCCTCCCCAAATCGACCGCCAGGCCACAACGCCCTTCCACCTGAAGCTCTTCTATCGCGTCAACAACTTCCACCCGCTCTCAGATTTCTCCATCTACGGCGCCTCCTCGTCGTCGTCATCATCCTACGGCGGCCCCGTCAGCGGGCCCAACGCCATCCGCGCCCGCTCGCCGCCTCCTGCCGCCGCGCCCCTCCCGGCTCATCTCCAGATCTACACCTGGCAATCCTGCACCCTGCGCGAGCTCTCACAGCTCCTGACCTCCGCCCTGCCGTCTCTTCTCCCCGACCCGCCCATCGGCACGAGAATCTGCTTCCGACTCATCTACCCCGACACGAAAGCCGCGGCGATGGCCGGGCCAGACGCCCGAGGCCGGTACCTGAGCAAGGACATTGGGAGTGTGGTCGTCGGTCCGCGCGACAGCCCCTACCGCGAGGAGCATGGCGACGAGGACGATAACCAAGAAGGAGGGAAGAAGGGCGGCGGTCGCGGTCCGCACCGGATGCAGGGCAACGAGGCCGACAAGACGTTGCAGGAGATGCGATTCGTGATCGGGGACTACGTGGACTGTGCGATCCTGCCGCCGTTGGAGGACGGGTCTGTCGCGCCGCCGCTGACGACCGGCCGTGGGCCTAGCGGCTTGCCGATGGGTGGTGGGATGCGCGCGTTCCGGGAGCCTGGGTTTGGAGGCCGGCCTGGGGCCGGTGGTGCTGGTGGGCCTCGTGGACGGGGCGGTGAACGGATCCCGTTTGGGGATTGGAAACGAGGTGAACGGTTGCCGGAGGGTGGACGGGGGGGGAGACGCGGCTGGGCGCCGTACTAAGGGTGTTGCTTGGTTTTGATAGTTTGTTCAAGGGGTTGTGTTTTCGGGCTTTTAGGTGCATTTCTACTGTACTGTACTATTCCTTGGAGTTGTGACTGGGACTGGGATACCCGGTGTGAGAGCAATGGATTATTCTCTGTCTTCGTTGCCGGTTCCGTATATTGTGTAGGGATCTTTACGTCAGGTTGGGGAGATACTACGCGTAGCCCAGACCTGTGTGTCGAATAATGAATAGCATTGTGGCTTCCGATCTAAAAACACCCCTGGAAAAAGAAATCGCAGACAAACGAGAACCATCGATGCGGTATATTCTGGTAATAGATACACGTCCAGCGAGCCCCTACTGCCGAGGCAGCGGATGCGATACCATTTCAACCGTAGGAAACAACTCGCAGACTGAAAACACGACTCCGGCATTTTCAAAAAATAAAACAACAACCTGCCGCCTGGTAACTGATTTACCACTCACTGAGGGTATCGCCCCTCCGCTTGCCGCGGAAATCCACCTTGCCCTGTGCGCGACTGGTCAGCCATCTATTGATTCCGCTCATCCAATCCAGCGCAATTATACGATATCTTGCGACGCGGGCGCAACGAGCGATGCCGGGGGTGTCAGATCACATACCTCCGTCTTGTAGGTAAGGTAGGTCAGCGAGCCGGGGATCACGGCCATGAAGATGAAGGAGAACCAGGCATTGCGCGGCGTCCAGCGGAAGTACTTGTAGCGGTTGGCGTTAACCTCTATTTTCCATGATTGGGTCAGTACGTGTTCTCTTCGAATGCTCGGTACCGTGAGAGACGGCAATGGCGGAATGCGAGGGAGTGGGAAACGAGGTCGTCATTGTCGGAGGGGGGCTGTACCGTAATATTTCTGCAGAGCGGGGTCCAAGATCATGGCTGGGGTTCAATGTCAGCGAGTTCAACTCGAGTAAGTACTTCACTCTCGGGACAGCGGGACATACACTTGCTAGGACCGGCCATGGTTGCGGTTGTGGATGTGAAGCTTGTGGATCTTGAGATCCTACCTGTCGTTGGACCTATCGCTGGTGGTGAGGTTCCGATGCCGGTCACGTGGGAGCATGCGGCTGAGTCAGCGACGGTTCGGTCATTGCATCACGTGGTGCTGTTGCTCAATGCCAATCAACGGGCGAGAATTACTGCGCGCCATTCCCGAACTGTTTTGTCTGGCAACACCATCGCATATCCATATAGGTCATAACCATTATATATTAGACCTGTTTAGAATAGGAGAATGGCAAGACACAGGATAGATACCCAACTTACAATTGTGAAATCGTGCGGATCAGAAATCATCATTTCGTTCCTTGTTATCCGCCCAAGATCACGATCCGTATTGTTAACCCAGCGTTGTTTGAGCTCGATGAACTATGTGGATAATATGATCAGTCGCCATTGCGTATCTTTTCAATGACGGACACAACAATTTTCCAAGAGGTATGGCTGCTTATGGAATAGGTCACCTCGTGTTCAATCAATCGTTCCTTTCCCATTGGCTCGTATAGCATAACGTTATGCTTTCCGTCCGCTGCTTGGCCCCTCGTAGCCTTTCCTCCTCGAGATCGAGACAACGTTATTCCTACACCCATTCCTGCTCCTCTGAACTGGAAGGTATCTTGGCCTGCTGATTGCATTTTCGAAGGATTGTTTCCATATTCAACATGTCTGCAAAACGCACAGCTCCTGATCTATCCGTCCCCGAGCTTACGGAAAACGCAGCGGAGCGAAAGCGGGTGTTAAATATCCTGGCGCAAAGAAGATACCGTATGTGGCTGATGGGACCGTATATCGCTTCTGTTAACGTTCACTCAAGGGCAGAGAAGGAAGGATCGTCTCCGGGCATTTGAATCCCGAGCAACAGGCGAGGCCCGAGGATACCAGACTACCGCGGAGACTAGCTGCTTGTCTGTGAATAATGCCCAGTCGTTCCGTGAAAGTGAGGGAGGATCATCGCCTTCTGGAACCGTTCAGAATAAGTCTCCGGTATGTGATGTCCAAGCTACATCGTCGGATGAACCTGCAAGGGACGTACATCAGGACGACAATGCACATGTTGGGTCAGGGTCCATACAACCTATTGCACCAAGTGGATGTGATTTTGTCCACTCTTCCTCGCGGTTCCTCTTTCAATCGTCCTTGATTCCTCCATCAGTATCAGCATTCCCCTATGGCGACACCAGTGAAACATATCAATCTGCATGGCCAGAGTTCGGCCAACAGGACCAAGCTATAGGATATAGCAATGATCAAGTCACCAAGTCCATGTTCGACAATGACAGCGGTCTGGGGGACATTTGCGCAGAGCTTCAATCCTCGGAAGCTTCATTGTTTACTTTTCCTGACGACTATACAATACATATACCTACTCTTACCCTCCTGAACGCAGCCATGTCTGTAGCTCGGCGATTAGGACTGTCAGAAATCATCTGGGATCTCACTTCTGTCAGCCCGTTCTATGAGGAAAGGGGTACACCCGCGTCCGGGCTATCCACCCCATCCCTAGTGACCTATCCATCAAATGCAGCATCCACGACGCCATCCGATACAACAGACAGTGCTGGTAGTGAGCGAAAAGCTTATATCTTTGCCCTTCCGCCCCACCTTCAGCCAACGCCTACCCAGCGTCTCATCCCTCACCACCCCATGCTGGATCTCCTTCCCTGGCCAAATGTCCGAGACAAATTGATTCAAGTGTTCCATCTCCCTATGAGCCAACGTCCAAAGACAGCACAGGACCCGATGGGGATCCTGCGTCTAGTGTATGACATGGAAGACGCTGGTGGCGAAGGGATCAACGTTCACGGACAGGACCCCTTCCAGGCGAGTGGGTGGGAAGTTGGCCAACTAGTATTCGAGCGGTGGTGGTGGGCTTTTGAAACAAATATAATCCAGACCAGCAACCAGGCCCGCATGAACAGAGGCGCGAAGACCTTGTCCCTCACGGAGCTACAGATGTAGCACGGACTTCCTCCGCAAAACGACTAGATATACACCTCCAAAACAATCATCGTTGAAGCATCGACAAGGCACCAGACTGTTATGATATCCTACTTACAAACACAAATAAAATAAAAATCACGACCACTGACAAAGCCAACTCACTGATCTGCATTCATCACCTTCCCAGCCCGAATCAATCCCCAAATTGGAATCGCCATCCCCCAGGCCCACACTCCCGTCCGCAAATAGCTTGCGGCCTCGGACCTCACACCCATATACAGTGCCGTATACAGGATCCTGGCGCCGATATATTCCACCGCAAGTGTATTTAGCTCACTGGAAGGCAGCTTGGCCAGGTTCCCAGCCAGCTATTCCCAGAAGGCAATCTAGTCAGCACTTTCAACGGACGGGGCTGTCTATTTCACTAGAACGAGCCACAACGCGGGAGAAGAAGAATCGTACCATGGCAGCTGCAAACATAGGCACGCCCTCCATCGCATTTAGATGCGCACCTCGTGCCCGAGCCAACTTGTTCCAAACATCCGCGGCGATGCGGCCTTTGAGATCGGATAGATTCTGGCGTGGTCTGGACACATGATATCTTGTTAGTTTGGTTTATCTTTGCAAGATATGAATAAAAGAACTTCTCACAAAATATTGCTTGATTGTCCCTTTGCGTTAGCCATCATTTTGATGACATAGTAGCCGTGTGGGAGGAGGCCGATGCCATAGACGGCTGCGATGGACGGGATGGAGTAATTGTATGTGGTAGTCATTTTCTTGGCGATGGATTCTTGAAATGAAAGTTATCAATCTTTGAAATTTTACTGTTTGGTGAAACAATCGTGATTGTGTTTCGATGTAGTAGACTGGACATCTGTGAGGTTTTATAGACCCGAAGCATAACGTTATGTCGGCCGTCGGCTGTGGTGATTCTCAGCGTCCAGTGAGTCTTTTACTTGGCAATATTACTCGCCATAACTACAATCTATACGATTATATATAGCAGATATATAAGTATTACCTATTCTCGCACAAATACGTGCGGACTGCCCGGCTAGTGATTCCAAGAGTCGGATCTACCGCGTAAGTTTACATTCCCAGGTGGCATTCTTTCTTGTCGTAGTACCATAACATTTATTCACTTCCTGGTATATCTATGCACATTGACGATGAAGTGTCTTAATAATTAATCAAGGAGTTAGAATCATTGACCCAGCAGTGGCTGTTTAGAATTTTATTGGCGGGAGCATGCATATATCTGTCCCAGATGGAATGGTGACTGACCGACTCTGTAAGGTATCCCTCCTTGTCATCCTCCCATTTCTCTGGGACCACTTTTCATCTTTTGCGTGATTCATAAATTTCTGGCAATATCCAGTTGAATGGCATTTTCTACAGTTCCTCGACTTAACGCGTTGGTGATCCTACTGGCAGCCCTATCTTTAGGGATCGCCGTTGCAGATGGCAAAACATGCAATCTGCCACACTTCAATGCCACGATGCAAGGTCGTGTTCAAGCAATCAAGCCGTTCCCCCTTCCCTGCTTTTCCAATTACAATGGACAATCCGTGAGCCCAAACCGGGCAGCATGCGCTGGTATCCAGAGAGACTACTTTAATCCCTGGGCGCGAACCAACAGTCCGAACGGGTACATGATGTGCTCTTCGGAGCCGTACAATCAATGCCTGCTAGATGACAGCCACCCAGCCAATCCGACGGCCTACACAGATACGGCCTGTCGCCAGGGCGGCCTGCCTTCGCATTACATCGAGCTCCAGAGCGTCCAGGACGTGATCGAGGCTTTCAAATACGCCAGCTGCTCAGGAACCAAGCTTTCTATCAAAAGCAGTGGTCATGACTACCTCGGTCGCAGCAGTGGGAAAGATACGCTGGCGCTATGGACCCGCAATCTGCGATCGATGAGCTACAGCCCAGAATTCGTCCCATCCGGCTGCAGCGCCAAATACAACGCCATCATCGTCGGTGCGGGCGTCAACTTCGACGAGGCGTATGCCTTCGCCGAAAAAAACAACGTCACGCTTGTCGGCGGCTATTCGTCCACGGTTGGCGTCTCTGGTGGCTGGGTTCAGGGCGGCGGTCACTCCATCTTATCACCCGTCTACGGTCTAGGCATTGACCGCGTCTTGCAGTATAAGATCGTAACCCCTGATGGGCAGTACCGCATTGTCAACGAGTGCCAGAGCCCTGACCTCTTCTGGGCGCTACGTGGCGGCGGCGGCGGCACCTTTGGCGTAGTCATGGAGAGTACGCATCGAGTTGAGCCTCAGATGCGGCTTGTTGCAGCCAGTATCAAGTTTCCCAAGTCGCCGACAAACGTCCTCCCGTTTCTGGACATCGTCGTCAACCACACGCTTCAGTGGGCTGCAGAAGGTTGGGGAGGCCACATCACGGGTAATACCCTAGTAAATGTATCTCCACTACTCTCAGTCAACGAAGCCAAGCAGTCCCTAGCTGAAGTGATTGCCTACGCAAAGTCGCAGGGCGGCACCGCCGTCGTCGAGGATTTTCCGTCATGGTACCCATTCTACGAGAAATACGTGACTACGGGCTCGGTGGGTGTTGGAGTCACCCATTTCGTAGGTACCCGCCTTGTCCCCAAGGCTGTCTTCGAAACTGCAGCGGGCCGAAAAGACCTGATGGGCTTTTTTGCGCTCCTTCTGGATCAGGGCCAATCGCCGTACATACCGGTCGTGGGTCCCGTTCTCTACGACTACCCTGAAGGGTCTACGAGCGCTACGCCCGCCTGGCGCTCTGCTGTCTGGGAGACGGGGGTGGGTGCTACCTGGGCCTGGAATAGTACACTGCAGGATCGTAGGGAGAAGATTGCCACTATGAAAGACATGACGGCTATGTTTGCGCGTATCACACCGGGGAGTGGTGCGTATGCAAATGAAGCGAGCCCGTTCACTGAAGATTGGAGGGAAGCTTGGTGGGGCGATAACTATGAGGAGCTGGTTATTATTAAGAACAAGTATGACCCTTTTGGTCTGTTGAGCTGTTGGAAGTGTGTTGGGTGGATGGAGAGTCAGGGTGATAGCTCTTGTTTTTCTGAATTTGTTTGATTGTGATGGATGATATGCGAGATCTACCATAATATGACCTCTGTATATGATATATAGTTCCGTACATTTGGTGCGGACATAGGAGCCCATGATCTGCATCTCTCGCATCAAGATACCTTCTGGGAAAGGTAATTAAAAGATTAATGTGATGACCAACCTTGATGATTTCGCTTTCTACAATACATATCGAAAGCTCTTGTTTTGCATGTCGGTTTCATCTACCTGGTCCAACTCTTCATCTGCCTGGAGATTGACCTCACGATGTTCCTCCGGGTCAATGTGTACGCCTTGCTCTCGATCTCGCTTTCCGTTGACCCAGCGCAGGTAAACATGGAATGTAATCGTAATGACAACGACGATAGCCGCACAAGCAAGTATAGTCACAAATGCAGACTGTTCGGCATCAAATAAGTATCATATAAGGCGAAGGCTGAGTGAGCTCCAACTTACCTCATATTCAGGGGCTTCCTCGCTTCTGAAAAACTGGGGCCCTACAAAATTCCCCACGCAGTAGCCCACGAAGATCAAGCCTACGACGCTGGATTTTTTGGTAAACCCTGCTGTGTTGCTTGCGAATAGGGACATCATCAGAGGAAATGCGGGCGACACGCTGGTGGTTAGCCAGAGGCCAGCGAGTCGAGCCAGTTTGTTTGACTTTGGCAGCAGCTTGATCATGAGGATACCAGCTATTGCGACTAGACAGATCGCGCTTAGCACGAGCAGTCGGGATCTGCGGATATTAGTGGTGAGGATGGCTGCAAGAATGACCATCGTAAGCTGGAACGCTGCTGCTGGAAGACCCATAAGGATGGTTTGGAACTTGTCGTAGCCGAAGCCATTGATGATCAGCGTGCCGAACTATGGCCACATCTTGTCAGATTTCTTTTTTGTGCCATGGATTTTGTAATCACAATGTAGGGGATCATACACTGGTTAGGCCACCGTTTGGCACACAGATTACGAACGCAAATAGTACAAGCCACCACGTCTTCGGGTCGATGAGTGCTTCTTTGAACTGCGCGCGGTCCCACTTCTTGGTCTGGGTAGTACGTTGGAACTTCTTTGGGCGTAAGGAGGCCAATTTTCTCTCGGTGGGTGTGAGGAAATGGGCGGTCGATGGGGAGTCTGGTAGGTAGAACCAGAGCAGGACGGACCACGCAATAGTAATCAAGCCGAATATGAGAAATAGCATCTGTGAAGGAGTGAGCACTGTTGAACATGAGAATTGTTTTGCTTGACTTACCTTCCATTGTGGAAAGTCTCCCGCATAATACAAGATTCCGTATGCAATCATTGACCCGATCACGCTGGCTATGATATTTCCTGTAAACCAGAAAGAGTGCCGAGAGACATGTTCCGGAGGCGTATACCACATCCCTGTGATCATCGAAAATCCCGGGCTGATGGCACTTTCGAAGACACCAAGGAGGGTTCTTAGAACCATAAGACTAGCAAAGTCATCCGCGACAGTATGCAGTGTGAGGACAATACCCCATAGAAAGCTGGAAAAATCAGCAATACGATCTTGGGCCAAGATAGCCACCACACACATGAGTACACTTAGATATTTTCCCAATGGGAATCGAACAAACCCGAGGGATATCGGATACGATGCGGCAAGATATCCAATATAAAATATTCCAGACGCCCAACTAAAGTCTTGCCCTCGAAGATTCTAGGGTTCATTAGCTAGTATCGTCTGTAGCAAAAGGGTGATCGCACGAGGTCATGTTGTATGTTGAGGATGGCACTGTAAGAGAGGCTCGTCTCTACGCATAGAATGAGCAATTGACCTAAGCGTATACCGTGAAGTAGTATGCTTACTGTCCACATATTGTAGTCCATAGCTCACGATGAGCAGCGGCATCAAACTGTGTCATTTAGCGATGGTCACTCCATTACTGACGTCTCTGACTGATCTTACTTCAGATCGATTTTTCTGATCAATCTTCTTTCTTCCAGAGGGTGCAGTGCCCCTGCAAGATCATGTCTCTTATCATTGGTCACACGGTCGCTTGCAGTGGGATCACTGGAGTCACGGTCAAAATGTTGTTGGACTTTGTCTTCCATGATGGACCACGGTAGTGCATTCTTGTGAAAATTGGCTGGACTCTTCCAGGTGAAAAAGATACAAAAGAGACGACTGACTGAACAGTGGGAAATCAAGTTAAGCAATAAGCCAGGTTGTAATTCACAGAAGCAAGGGCTTGATATCCCGTGTTGGTCAACATCTGCTCTAATCATGCAGGGGATGAGCCAGGCACAGACTGTGATTTGTCTGTTGATGCTGAGGTGGACTGGGCTGTTGGCCCCTTGATCAAACTTCCTCAAAGGATTGGTTGATTAGTGACGCCACAATTCACGCCAAGTAGTCTTGTATTATATCAGACAATAGGTCCTCTAAAACTGATTCACCTGCCAGAGAAGAATGGAGATCGTTAATATTGTCCGGAACTGCACGGTTGATTCTCTTGGCTTGATTAGCACCGGGCCGTCAAAGATCAAAAATTCACCTAGTTGCCTGATCTGGACAACCTTTTTTCATAGCTTTAATTAACTTGAAGTGATACATCCATCATGGTAACCCAATATGCTGACCACAGTGAGGTTAGATGGTGGACCAACCTGACTTGTTCCGCATTGAGATTACAGTCTGGCACCAAATTCCCCAGGTCTGAATTGGGATTTTGAACACGTGTGAGTTAATATCATGCTTGAATCATTTAACACGACTGGTAGTGTACGATGGGTTGTTGCGTGAACTCCACACGGTATTATACGTCGGAGCCAAGCTTGGGCAGGCCACCAGACATCCAGCGCAACAGGTAGGATTGTTTGAAAGGTCTGAAAATTCCTAGAATATCTCAGTAATTCGGTGGAAATGGCCATTGGTTTGATTTACTCTAGGCTAGACTTACATGTTGGGTAGCAAGATAGTAGTCGTCAACGATGGCAGATGTTGGTGGTTGTCACCAGTCATCAGAAACACCCAAAAGGGTAACAGTCGAACCTGGCGGCTTCTCCCCTACATCTTCCCAAATCACAGGCCCCGTCCATCTCACCCCGGGTTTACTTCCATCAATATTTCGAAATTTCGCATACATTTTAAGGGACAGAATACGCCATGATAATTAGGTCAGGCAAGGACTCTAGTGTTGGGTGTTTTCAAACCACCCAGAGTAGTTATTACATGCCATTAATGATAACAGGTACAGGTAAACCCGAAATCTGGCCACCTAAAGGGTGCATCTGGAATCACCAGCATAATAAAAGCGGTTCTCTGCCTAGAACACAAAGTGATTTCGCCAAGTGCTCATTTCGAGACGCCGGATCCTGCGATCTCGTTTGAAAAGGAGCATCACTGGTAGCCAAACAGCCTTTAGAATGGCCCGCTGATCGACGTGCTCGAGTTAGCATTGACGGTCTTTGAATAGGAGGAGCAAATGCTCACGTCATTTTACCGAGGTTGATAATACATGGCGTCTTCCTGCTTTAAGGGCCGCGCTCGGCTTCTGCTTGTTTCCGCCAGGGATAAAGCGGGTTTGCAAGGGCGGATTAAACAGGTGATTAGCTATGTCAACACACAACCAAACCAACTGCAGAATCTCGCCGGAAACACTCGTCACACCAAAGATTTGCTGTCACACGTCCTGGCACTTCTCTAGAGAGATCAAACTTTCATCAAAGTCGGAATTTGCATCTAGGGCTCGTTTAGTTTTAACAGGTCAGGAGGCCCACCGGCTTGGAATGGGGAAAGCAACAATCGAGACCTACGGATCTGTCAGGTCGGATATAAGTCGTCTACATTATTGCTGGAAACCCCAACTGGGAGTCGCATACCTTTCTCCCTAAATAAAACATATAGGACATCAATACCAAGAGGTTATCACCGCTCACGTGTGCCATGATAGCAAAGCCACGGTGCCTATGTTTTCAAGTGTAATTACACAGAGGATTGGGAACCCTCAAGAGCTTAATGCCACCTACTGGCGCCAGAATATGGGATCACCGGCGTGGTTCACCGAATCAGTGGGTATTATACCATAGCACCGAGGGCACGACCAGCAGCATTTATTCGTCGAGATCGGACCACATTCCGCGCTGTCTGGGCCACTCAAGCAAATATTTTCAAGTGGCCAGGTGCGATCTGGGTTCGTTGAACACATTTACAGTCGGTCCCAGTTCCCCGACCAATGTCTCCAGCTTGTGGGTGTGGCCTCGACTGCAGGTATTTCTCGAACGAGAAATCTTGGTGGTGGTACAATTTTCCCGTGAATAGAGGATGTCTTTGTGGGACATGGTGGAGATCGAATGCCTTCAGAAGGTGCGCGCTGCGGGTCTGGGTTCTAATATAGTCGTTAGTTCCTCCACTCGAAGCTTCGGTTTGCTCTAATATTGATTGACCAGATCCAAGCCGCCTCTATTTTGGCTGACGCCATTTGACCTTTCGAAGGTATAGATAGTACACAAGAGGATTCAATATACTCGGGACACTATACCGGGAAATTTGTTTATCTTATTCCAGTTTCTCTACAATGCCTACAATGCCGGAAGATCCAGGAGGTAGGCAGCAGGAAGCACTACGTGTTCCCGCAATATCCCAGTCACGCCACGATGGACAAGAAGCAGAATAGAAAATAGATGGACAAGAGCCGATTCAACCCAAGTCAACGAGATCAAAGACTAGCCCTAATCGGCACTAGATCCTTCGCGCGGATCGAACGACAATCAACGATCGGGGCAACCCACCGATACAGTAGGGATCCACCAGGCCGATGACGTAGGGGTTGTCAACCTCCATCTTAACCCCGACCCCTTAGTCGACCTCGGCTACAACTAATCATAACCGATCATGGGGTATCATTTGATGGATTAAGGCCGTGCTCATATATATTCTGACTCAGTCCGTCTAGACCACCGAGCTTATTAATGAGATCGAGAGATTAACGACCGCGATACTGCCTCTTCATTTAAGAAAGCTTCACACATCCACATACAGCTCTTGAAATTACTCACAACAGCGACAAGAAAAGCAAACTCCGCAACAATGTCTGACACCAACAAGGGCACCAAAATTACCCTCCACTGGTACATCCCCGTCATCTTCCCTATTCCCCTCGCCGCCCTGCCTTTAATACTAAAGGGAATAAAACAGGTTAAACCAATCCCGCTCCCAAAGCATCGTCTGGCTCCTTGAAGAGCTCAACCTCTCCTATGATCTCAAGGCCTACAAGCGCCAAGCAGACATGCTTGCGCCGCCCGCCCTGAAAGAAATCCACCCGCTGGGGAAATCCCCCGTCATCACGCTCGAAAACGAGAACACCTCGTCGCCGATGGTGCTCGCAGAGTCGGGCGTCATCATCGAGTACATGTGCGATCACTTCGACGGCGATAAGCTTGTCCCGAAGCGGTACCAGGACGGCAAAGAGGGCCAGGTTGGCGGCGAGACGGATGAGTGGATGCGTCATAAGTACTTTATGCATTATGTGGAGGGGAGTTTGATGCCTTTTCTGGTGATGCAGTTGGTGATGGATGGTATGTTTCCTCCTTTCCCTATAACAAATACAACTACTTCCAGGTCTCTAGGAAGAAATGATGAAGAGGAAAACTAACGAGAAACAGTGGTCAAAAACCCCCCTCTCCTCCCCTTCTTCGTCAAGCCCCTCCCCCGCATGGTCGCCTCGCAGGTTGAAAAGGCCTTCCTCGAACGTAACATCACCTCCAACTTCGACTTCCTCGAGCAGCAACTCAAGACGGCGCCCGCCGGCGGGCCATTCCTGTGCGGCAAGCAGCTCTCTGCCGCAGACATCATGCTGAGCTTCCCTGTTATCTCTGCGGGGGCGAAGTTTCCGCTGAAGGAGAAGTGGCCGACTCTTGCGAAGTACGTGGACCTCCTGCAGGAGCAGGAGGGTTATAAGCGGGCTGTGAAGCTGGAAGAGAGTGAGGGAAAGAAGGTTGAGGCTTCTTTGTGATTGGTTTGATATATATACATATATGTTTCTCTATTTTCTTGATTTGTGTTAATTATTTATCGCGATTCTCATTCATTACTGGCGTCGATTGAACAAGGTAGTTTCCTTCTCTAGCCCGATAAATGCCATCTTTTCTCAATGGTTTGTTTTTTCTCTTCATCCATACGAGGTCTTCACCCTGGAACTTAGGGCGCACCCATGTTAATGTTCCCTGGCACAATCCATCGCGGTTCAGGAACTATTACCTTGATTTCTAAAAGACTACAAGTCTTGAGTAGACTGCTTTTCCACACGACGAAAACAGTGTTTCTAGTTCCATTCATTTAGTGGATGCCGCGGCAACAATAGAATTCACTTATCATGTCTGTCAATAGTCTTTGGTTTTCCCACCCTCCCCCGCCGGCATGTGCAGTTATGGAGGCTTCCACGGCTGTGGAAATGGTAGGTGTCTTCTTGCCTATAGTCTCAAATAAATTGTGATAGGTCGCTTCATGTGGAGCGCTCCTCTTCGCTCCACTGAAGAAAGTATGTCAACCCATTCCAGCGGCAGACATATAATTATGAAAACCAGGAGACTTGGAGCAACTGTATATGCCTTACTCCTTCGTCTTCCACGTCGTCGCAACTTCATCACAATCCTTCATGATATCACCCCACTGCATTCGACCCCACCGCTCCGGTTTTTCGACTGCGTCCACAAAATGCTTCATGGCAAGCACCGTCTGCGCCGACCAACGCTCCTTACTAACCCTCCCTACACCAGCAGCCAGGGGCGGCATCAAAAGGCTATTGATCTTCTCGCCTGAAACCCGATTATGACCCTCCACCTGACACAGCAGACTCCAGACACTCTCGTAGACAACCTCCCGGTCCCAGACGACATTCGTCGGCTCTCGCATAGTGGGGCAGATAGCTACCCAAGCGCAACGCCGGGGGTTTTGCTCCAGTGGCGCAGGAAACTGGACAAGTGTGCATGTTCCCGGCGGCGCGAATCCTCGCCATTTCTCGTACAGCTGGGTCTGCACGGCGCGCGTCAAGGCTCCATAGTCATCGCGAGGACTGAACGCTAATGAGATGGCGTCGTCAAAGGCTCCGTCTAGACGGCCGTAGGAGTTTGCGGGCGAGACGACCAGGTCGAAGGTGACTGAGGGTTCGAGGCTTTTTAGGCGCGAGTTGATCGGAGTGATCGTGAGCTTAGACGGTAACTCGGGCCAGTGCTCCTGCTGCGCTGTGTGGAAGGCGGTGATGAAGTCTGCGTCCTGGCAGAGCAGGATTATCTCTGGGATGTTGGCGGTCATTTTGTTATATTCAATATACAACGGCAAGACAGTGTTCGTTGAAGAGAATATGAGGCTCTGAGTTCCTAATCATCTGCGCATCCTCCCCTCAAGATCCTTCGATTATCCACGTGTCAACTTCTATAAGGGGAAAATCATACCGACGGGCGTTGATCATTGGACGTCTTCAAAATCCCTGGAAAAGTCTATTGACACTTGTCTTGAATTCCTTTTTAGATAATAACTACCATTTCTACGAGTATCTGTCATAAGAGCTAAAGAGTTATGCGACTGCTTTTCTGTTGATTTGTTAGAATATTTTGTAAATTTCACGGCCCGGGCATTATTTATCTCTCAGTCTTTTGTTCTCCTTGGAATCTTCTAAAGTCATTCTCTTCACATGTTCATGCCTTCTATATGATGTATAAAATGTCCGAATTCGGCTTACATCAATACAAACCAGGTTCCAAAATTACTCACCAAGTTTTACTATATCATGAAAAGTCCTCCATATAACAGACCGAAATCCTCTCATTCATTGCGGTAAATGAAGCCAAGTGCTCTTCTCATCCCACGGTTCTCCATCTCCTTCATAGCATTCAAAGCGTCTGTTCTTCCGATCATCCAGAGCTCTAGGCCCTCCAAGCCCTAATCTCCCCACTCGCTCACTGCTCTCAGCTGTGTCCCCCACCCAACCAGGAATCTCATCGAGAGCCTCGGTCTTATCGGTCTCCCGTCCAACGAGGAATGGCACTTTCTCGGCGACCACAGCCCCAATCCGCATCATGGCAAATGAGTTCAGCCGTCCATCGCGGCGATCACGCTGCGTAAATTGCTAGCGGTAGCAGGATCGAGATATCTAGACCGAGCAGTATCGACACCATTACGATGTCTCGCCGGGAATTGGCCGGGACCTGGGTATCGTCGCCCTTGTCGGACCAGGTCCTCAGGCCCTTTTCGCTCGTTTCGATGTTGGTTTTGATCCAGACTTGGCTGGCTAGTAGGAATGCCGCGGCGTTGAAAGCATTCTAGAGTTTGCGAGGATCGCCGTAGAAGATATAGTTAACCATTCGGCGACTTCGTCCGTCACGTCGGAGGCATTCTTGTGATCGTTCATCATGGTGATGCATGTTGCGATCGATTCGCCGTTCACGTAATCCTTGATCCGTTCACATTTACATATATAATCGGGTGGTTTAGTTCTACTATCATCAAGACACATATGTGGTAGAGATTTAGTGTATTGCGCTGTGTTGGTGTGCTCAACGCACCACGGGTCAGGGATTTATATATCGGAACCCCTGCGCTTGAACAACGGCGTTGACTACCCTTTATGGTCCTCACTCTACAATCCGCCAATCCCATCGTAATAAGAATAACCCCAAGAGAAGTATTCCCAGATATGTATCAAAGCAACTAACAACCCGATAGATAATAAAAAAAGCAGACTACAACCTCACCGGCTCCTTATCCTTCTCAACAAGCAAATGGCCCTCCCTCACCAACGAATTCCGACACGTCCGCCTGAGCACAAAATCCTCCAAGTTCCCCAACGTAACAGTAGCGATTTCCCTCAGCGCCTCATCCGTAAAGAAAGCCTGGTGTCCACACACCAGCACATTCGGAAACGTCATCAGCCGCATCAGCGCATCGTCGTGGATGATATCCCCCGAATGGTCGTCGTAGAACAGCGCTCCCTCCTCCTCGTAGACGTCTAGTGCCAATCCACCTAACCGTCCTGTCTTCAGAGCTTCGATCGCCGCTTGTGTGTCTACCAATGCCCCACGGGATGTGTTTACTATCATCGCGCCGGGTTTGACTTGTTTGAGGCTCTCCGGGCCGATTACGTGCCGTGTTGTCTCTGTTAGTGGGCAGTGGAGCGAGATGATATCTGACTCGCGGAGGAGTTCGTCTAGCTCGACGAATGACCCGTCTAGTTGGCGAAATTCGGGCCCCCCGCCGCTGGGGTCGGTGGACGCAGCGCAGTAGGGGTCGTACGCGAGCAGCTTGCAGCCGAAGCCGTGCATGATACGGGTGAAGGAAAGACCGATGCGGCCGAGGCCGACGACGCCGACGGTCTTGCCGGAGAGGGTGTAGCCGAGGAGGCCCTCGATGTTGAAGTTGCCTTCGCGGACGCGGTTGTAGGAGCGGTGGGTCTTGCGGTTGAGGGTTTGGATGAGGGCGACGGCGAATTCGGCAACGGCTTCGGGAGAATAGGACGGGACATTGGCGACGAAGAGGCCGAGCTTTTCGGCGGCGTTGAGGTCGATGCCGTTGAAGCCGGCGCAGCGGAGAAGAATAGCGCGGGTGCCGCCTGCGTGAAGGGCGCGGAGGACCGCGGCGTCGAGTTTGTCGTTGACGAAGGCGCAGACAGCATCGCTGCCGTGGGCGAGGGAGGCGGTCTCTTCGCAGAGGGGGAAGCCGTGGTAGGTGATCTCGCAGAGGGTGGGGTATTGCTCTTGGAGGGTGGTGGAGAGGTATTGTTTGTCGTAGGATTTGGTGCTGAAGACGGCAAGTTGTCTCATTTTGCGGGTGGATGTATGTGGTATTCTATGGGTATGTTTTCCGTAGGTTTCTTGTGGTCAGGATATGGAATAATCGATATGGGAGTGATGTTGGATGGTGGTGGTTATGTTGCATTGAATTGCGGAGGTGAGTGGATGACGTCGTTGATGCGATGGTTCTAGCCAGTCGGTCCAGGATGCCACAAACGGAAGATAAGCCACTTGGCGGGTAGTAGTTACATGCATCGTATGATATCCTTGCTGTTCTTGCTAAATTGCCCGTAAATATGGGCCTGGACTCAGGGGATCTTTACTCGTACTACCGGTGCTGGTACAACTATCGCAAACATGATCTGTCACAGATTAGTGTCTATAGATGGGGCTATACTCATGATCAACAGGACTAAGATAAGACGAAGAGGCACGATTATCTCGTGTTTAGAATTGAACAAGTGGCTTGGCTTGGAGATCAATGGATGCATTGTCCAGGGCAAAAGTTGTCACCTGACTAGAAGATCAATTACTATCATTGTATATTCCAGTACCATTTGAACCTCTCCTTATGCCTCATGACCTTCATTGATTCCGTTAGATTCGCCAAGCTTCATGAATCAATTGATTACACACACACGGTTTTGAAACCCATTCCCAGAGAATACTATCACGAGAACCCTCATGAACACTCTAATAAAATCTCAATCTGCTGTACGGAGCAGCAGTTCGACTGTTCCGCCAGGCAGTTTCAAACGAGCACCGTCGTGTTGTCGCATAAATCCGATGACACGTGTAAAACCAGTCTCATTTATATAACTATTGCACGTGGACTATCGAGACAGACCTTGCCCATAAACGAAAATCCCCTGTCTATACTACAATGCCGAGATGTGGATAGACAGGGGACTCCCATGATAAAGTTTGTATCGGATATTTGCAGAATAAGTTCAGGTATTGTGCATGATGCAGTTGGCGGGATGTTACAGGTGGATAATGGAACTAGATTGGCTATCACTGCCATAATTATGATTGATATCCCTATTATACACCCTGACCATGAAAGAAGTCGTAGCTACCAGTCCGATAAGCAAGAAAAACGCTACCCCATACGACGCGACAAGCAGCAGTATCGATAAGATACAGACAAGCACAAGAAAAGCGATAAGATACAGACAAGCATAAGGAAAGCGATAAGATAGATAGAGAGATACCTAGATAAAGGGGCAACAGAACCTCGGTTCGCGTCCCAAAGACACGGAAAGTTGCCGTGTAGGAAATTGAGAACTGCAGAGAAGGGATGGAAAGGACGATCAATGATCCTCGTGCCTAAGCGATCTATCCATCCCCGTCCCATCCCCGTTCCATCCCCGTCCCATCCCCGTCCCCATCCCCGTGACCACGCGGTTCGATCCTTGTGTCCGTTCCCTTCGATCCTCGCGTGCAGTTCAGTCCAACCCAATTCACCCGACCCGAGGTCCTGTCCAGGGAAGTAAGTCCGCCCGCCCCCGTATTCCGAACGGGCAGGTCGCGGGCTCGGGTGAAACTCGGATGTACTGAACAGGAACAATAGCCGGGCTTGACAGCTTCCAAGTGGTTCTGCCCTGCCTTTATCCCGCCCATTATATTCATCCGTCCTTGGATTGGACTGCTGGATTTGGGGTTTCGTGGGGCCAATCAAACTATCTGTTTATGATAATACCTACAGGTCAGTAGTATACTCATGAAGATCCATCCTGCCGTGCTGATGATCTTCATACTCAATTCCTCACCGCATCCATCCCCAGTCACGGACGGCGGCAGGCCGCTCTCTACAAGGCTAGCTAGATTAGACAGTAGTTAGCTAGTAGCCTACCTGGGCTAGTAAGGTAAGGTAGGACTAGGCAGGTAAAAGCCGTAGACGATGCAGAGTTCGGGTTTTGGTTTTGTTAATTAATGCGGGAATTTTTTAATCTAATCCACTTACCGGGTGAATTAATTCAGTGGGATATAGAAATTGATAGAAATTTAATTAATCCATTCAATTCATCCATCCACATCCCACATTAACATCCACAGCCGGGCCACTTTCAATCAATACTGAATTAGAATAGTACACTGAATTTATCCATGTGTTAGTGTCCACCTTTGCCAAAAACCACCGATCGTCGACTTTGGAGCTAGCTGGCTACCTACCTACTTGGGTATAGAGCTATGGAGTGTGTAGTCGGTCGTTGGAGCCAGTCACGAGGGTGGGCGAAAGTGCGGCAAATCAGTGGAGACGCTGTCGTCCACCGAGACACGGTTATGAATGTGATTATGACTATTTTATGATTAGTTTATTTGTTTATTTATTTTTTCTTTTTCTTTTTTTGCTGTCTAGCATCTCCGCGGGCTGTGGGACCAAGCTAAAAGGGACGGTCGTGGTAGTAGTATCGTAGTATCGTATGCATATGGTCTGTTTTACCCATGGTTCACGAGGTCAATAGTCTCATTTATCTGGAACCCTGGTGACTATTATCGAAGTTCTGGGTAATCTCCCAGGGACAGGGGGGTCCAGGGAGCGGAGATTGTTTGTTATTTGTTGATTGATTGAGTATTGTTGAGCCATGACTGGCTGGAAAAGGGAAGAAAATTCTTCGGGCTTTCTGGAAGGGTTGGAAGCGACTAGAAAGGGGCGGTACCATGGTTTGCCTCCCAGCCACCGGCTTCCACAACCCACCAGCACCCAAGACACGACGCGTCGATCTATGAGGTGTTATAATTGTCCGTTTTCAATTGGACGGGCATACCTTTACAAGAATAGGACAGCACAATCTATTTGTCCTTGGAATAGTAATGGGGGAAGAAAGGGGCGTAGCAAGCATGCAGGGAATTTGCCGAGTTACGCCATGATTAGCGCATGCGTCAGGAGACACGTTTAGATCACCAATAGTCTGCTGGTCGGGGATCTCGGCGTGGCCATCTATCGAATCCTAGTCCCTTGATCCCTGTCAGTGAGAACGCCGAGCATGAGTCGAAGATGACGGAGGATCGTCTAGCCAGTTCCGACCGTACTACTCCGTATATTGTCGTGTGCTGGCTGTTCGATACTACGGATACGTCCTATCTGGTTCAGATGGCAACCGAACTAAGTATCAGACTTGTTGAACTAGCTGAGGTCTTGGTCGTTGGACCGTGTCAAGATATAGATCTAATAGCGCCAACGGCTCCCTCGTTGGCTGCAATCTTGACTCTTGAGGACAGTTAGTTCCTCCCTAAAGAGAGCCTAGTAGTTAGTTACTCGGTAGTCTGTCTCAAGTACGCATGGATGTTTTACATGTTGATCGCTGCACCGACCAACAGGAGGCCGGGCTTTGGCCAATGCATAGTCGATGAGAC